AAAATAAGGGAAGATTAAAGAAAAAAAATCAGAAAACTATAAAAGGGAAGAAAGAATAGAAGAAAATACAACACAACAATGAAAAATTAAAAAATATATATATTTGCAAAGTAATGTATTCAAAAATAGAACCTTTGTCCCAAAATAGAAAAAAAAAATTTTAACTCCTATGTTTTCACATTCTCCATCATATGGATTCATTGAAAACATTGAAAACAATTTTTTAATTCTTTAAATTTAATCTATTTTCATTTTCATTTTTCAAAAAATAGCTTTTGTTTTTCAACCAAACAAAATTTTCACTCATTTTTCTATTATTTATGAAAATAAAAATAGAAAATAGAGATATTTTCATGAACCAAACACACGTATTTTTATGATTTTTTCCTTTTTAAATTGTTGATAAACTTTCATTCCAAAGAAACCCAAATCTTTTTGGCTTTTCTTATTAAGTTAATCAATATCATCACCCATAAAGTTTTTTCAATTATTGCAACTATTGTAGTTGTTGATTCGAGTAAGTTGTTTTCTCCAATTAATTTTAAATCATGTCATGGAATCAAATTAAAATTTGTTCTACATTGTTAAAATCCTTCCCTAAGTGTTTTCCTAAAATTTTTTTCAATTGATGACAACGGAAGAATTACCAAAAAAAAGAAGTTGTAGATAAACCACAATGTTATTATTTTAATCCAATAAGTTCTTTCAAATTTATTCTTATATATTTTTTCACATATTTATGACTTATATTGATTATAACTTGTGTAAAAATTTAAAGAACTACTATTTGATTTGTTATAGAAAAACGTAAATAATGTAGGAGTTTGAATGATGATATATTTGATTTGTTATAGGGATATGTTAATGATGATAAATGAAATAAGATTTAATAATATGTTTATTATGCTTTCTAATGTTATCAGTTTGAGTTATTGTTATATTGTTTATAAATTTTCATTAACTAATGTTCATAGCTATTTCTAAAACTTCATAGAAAACTAAAAAAAAAAGTGATTAAGTATGGCTTGATGTTTTTATGATTGAAAATAAGCATACATTCTTTCTTATTATTATTAATATTACAGTAGATGCTTAGTTGCTTAAAGATGTATAATAAGATGACTAAAATTATTGATTGTTACTTTAGTTTCAATGGACAAAAATTATATTTCTCAACTTAGAGAAAATAAAGTAAGAAAAGCTATAATTTTAAAAAGGAATAAAAATAAAAGAGATTTGGAAGCATCATCTTCTAAAGTCATTATCAAAAGGAAAAAAATAAGCCAAGCTACCATCTAACAAGATGTTACTAAAAAACATGCCTTTATTTGAGCATATAACTAATGCCAATTCTCAGGTACCTTCAAATGTCCAAAAAGTAGATACTTATTCAAAAAATACACTAATTGAAAGAAATGGTAGCTTGAAAACTACAGGTATTATTAAATTTTAAAATGATTACTAATGTATCATGGTTAATTAAACTATTTTTTTTTAAATTATTTATACAAAAACTAATATGGTCAATAAAACTATTAGAGATACTAATAAAAATATCAACGTAGAATAACAATAACCCCAAAGTTACAGAAGTAAGGTAACAAGAGCCTTTTGACTCTTCTTCATTTACTTTTTCCTTCAATGTTATGAATGTCCCATCCCCTATTTAGTCTCAAAGGCTTGCTTCTTCTTTAGCTTTGTTCATCATGCTTTTATAATGGTAAAGGTCAAAATTGACTTTTCCAATGAGTGGTATAATGTATTAGTGTCGACCTTCAATGATAGGATCACCATTTCCCTAAAGTCCTACAAGATTTAAGTGTATTTTGACTCTATAGTAGTTGGCCTTAGATTTTTTTTTTTACATTTTTTTATTGTAGAACTTCTTTTATCTTATAATTCGATTATCACTCAGCTCATGTCAAATACTTTTAGGTATATAGTATGATTTATTATTTTTTCTAGAAAGCTAGGTTTAGTTTCTTCCATCTTTCTATTTAGGAATTTTTTTACAATGAAAAAGTACCTCTATGATAAGAATTGATTCTATGTGACTACTCATCCTTTCAAAAAAAATTTTGCCAACTACTCTAGCTTAATAAAAAGTTGGAAAGTTCTATTCTTCTATATAGAAAAGATTAAGGGTATTTGGGAAATAAATAATAAGCTTGGCATTTTTGAAAAAGCCAAGGTCGACCTTTTAACCAAGGACGAGCTTGGTGCTTAGGATATAATAATTGACTTTCTAAAAAAAAAGAAGTTAATAATCAATTCTTATGAGCTAACCTCTTCTGGTGTTATTAGTGAGGTTAAGAACTAGGGTAGGTGTTAGTTTATTTTTTATATTAGGCTTATTTTTGTCAATTTTGTTCTAACTTTTACTTTAATTTTGTTTTACAGATATGACAGGTCGAGGTTAGGCATTTGACATGTCCTATTTTGTTCAATCTCTCAGAGGGAGAGAGAGAGAGGGGTAAGGCCCTTTCTCAGCTTATGCCCCATGCAAAGGGATAAAAATAATTGATCCCTTACCTTCTTAGGTCCAAGTTGATGGTAAAAAGCCCTACCAAACTCTAGAAGCTCAAGTATAAGAGTTGACCTCCCTCATTGTTATTAGGGAGGTTTAGTAATGGGGTAGGTGTTAAGTTTATTTTTCATACCAGGCTTATTTTTATTGATTTTGTTCTAACTTTTAGTTAGATTTTATTTTACAGATATGGTAGATCGAGGTAAGGCTTTTGACATGTCATGTTTTGTTTAGCCTCCTAAAGGGAGAGTGAGGGGTAAGGCCCTTCCTTAACTCATACCTTTTTCAATAGGATAAAAATAATTGATCCACCACCTCTTCAGGGCTAAATTGATGGCAAAAGCCCTATCAAGTTCTAAAAGTTCAAGTAGAAGAGCATGGCTTAGAGACCTAAAAAAGGCCAAAGATCAAGGCTTTTTTTTTTTAAGCTTGTGATCGAGCTCCAGCCCACCTCAAAGAAAGTTGCTATCAACATGGAGTTTCACTCCATATAAATGTTCATGAAGACCCCGAAGTGGTAAGGAAGATTAAAGGAGTCACATTTTCCAAAAAAGTTTTATGTATCTCTGAACTTGTTTTACTTTATAGTCTGTTATTCATATTATTTTGTTTAACACTAAGTTTGGATTTTTCTTTGTAGTTTTTGATGAACTCCCTACCTCTATCACCCAAAATTTCGGGCAAAGCTTGATGCGCTACTATCAACTTTTGGCTCATTATTACAAGATCTAATAGGATATCAAAACCTATGCTCGTGACTTTAATGCCTTTATGGAGATAGTGAAAAGTTCAAGGTATCCAACATTGAGTTTAGGAAAATCAACGATGAACTCAATACAAAGGTCGAGGACTTAAGCCATAGACTTAAAGACATGTTAGTCCAAAATATCACAACTAAGTCTTTACACTTGTAATTTTTTCTTTTTTAACATTCGCAAATTTTTCTTTTTTAATTTTCTCTAGATCTTGACTTCTTTTGTTGAAAAATAAAGATAAATAATTATATTTCTTATATTTTTTGTTAAATTCAAAATATAATATATTCATATATGAAAAATGAAAATGTTAATATTTAAAAGAATAATAGACTATTTTATTAAAAAAGAAACTAAAATAATAATTAAGTGATAATTTTTTCATAGTCTTAACATTAGATATGACAATTGTTGAGATATCCACTTATTATCAAATATTTATAATCAAAACCTTTTAATATTAATCTACCTAAAACTAAATTCGACCTAATTAAAAATCTAACATAATTTTTAATTTTAATCAAATTACTTTATATTTTTTAAAATTTCAAATTTTAATAAGATCATACTCATTATTTTATTAAAAACAAAATTATTACTTAAACTAATTGATTAAAATGTGAAAATGATGAATGATTTAACTAAGATTCAAGTATTTTGCATATGTCAATTTTTTTTATTTTAATTTAAATGAATTTTAAACGGATTGCAAGTATTTAAATTCTCAAACTCAAAACCTATCCAAAATGGTGATAGATATTTTTTATTGTCCAAATCTTATTCATATCCATTTATGATTATCTTAAAAAAGATCCAAATATTCCATTAAAACCTGTTGCTACCATCTTTAGTCAAAATAAAAAAAACTCCTTTAAATCATATAGGTTATAAATATTAAAAACACATCCAAATGCTTTTAACAATTGCCTTAAAAGAAAAGATCTAGTATAAAATTGTTATTACGGTTTGGAAAAGCTTAGCTTAAAAAAAGCGTGGTTAAAAAATACATTTTCAAAATATTAAGTGTATAGTATTATTGTGAAAAAGTGTTATTGGTGTACTGAAATATTCAAAAAATATATAAAAAAATTTATATTTAATACAATGTCTATATAGATTCTACACATTATTAATGAATCAAATAATATCACTTTATTAATAAAATAATATCACGTTTAAAATAAAAATACAAAAAACTTACTAAAGTGACATTACTTGATTTACTTTATTAATGAGATAATATTATTTAATTCATTAACAGTATATAAAATTTATATATCAACAATATTAAGTATAAATTTTATATAAAATAATAAAAATTTAAAGTTATAAAGATAAAAAATAATTTTATTGTCTAAAAATACTTTTGAAATGCAAACACACCTTTAAAGAAATTTTGCATTTGGTTTATTTAATCAAAATTTTTATCATAAAATTCAAAATTTTTATCTTATTTAGCATTAATATTACGATAAAAACGAAACTTAACGAATAACACTTTTGAACCTTAATATTAAGCGAGCCTAAATGTCAAAAACAACTTTTTAAAACAAATCATACACTGTTGGGCATTATGTCCATATTAGCATTTCGGAGCCAAACCCCAATGGAATGCCGAAGAGGCCCAATTATGCTGTTGCCTGATAGGGCCTATTGGCCCAGTCGAATCTCTAGCACATGGGTTAAACACTGAAAGACAGAAATAAGGGGTCGTTGAACTCGTGGGTTGTGGCGGTGGCTTTAATCTCCGAATAAAAATTTACAGTTAGGTTTTGGTATAAAAATCACCAAGCCTTTGGATAAAGGAAAAACTTCTAACTCCGACACCATCCCCAATTTTCTCTCTCTGGTATGCCGTTTTGCTGAGTTTTGAAATATGGCAGGCAGAGAAGTTCGTGAGTACACCAATCTGAGCGACCCCAAAGGTAAGTATAAATCAAAACTTGAATTGGAGGCTTCGCAATTTGTTCTCTGTCTGTCTTTATAAGTAAAACCTGAATTGCAGATAAAAAGTGGGGAAAAGGAAAGGACAAACTGGACGATGAAGATATTGCTTTCCAGCGTATGGTTGCAAAGGTTAGGGCGTCGCCTCTCCTATGTTTTCTTTCTTTGTTTTCTTAAAGTTGGGTGAAATAGCCAATATTTTTGGGTGGCCATGATTCTTTTTGGGAATGTTGTGATGTAAATCCTTATCTTGCTCTCAAGCTCTGGACCTGAGTTCGCCTTTCTTTTTTTTGTCTTCTTCACATTGCAATAACAACTTATTGATATGAAATGTAATAGCGTTTCTTTCCATGCAATCCACAGTATTACCCTCCCTTACCTCACCCTTTCACTGAAACAGCTCTTCTCCATGGGAAAATTGTCGTCCTGGAGAATTGCACTGATGACACTTTGGCTTTTGGGGGCTATAAGTATTCATCAATTACCTCTAATTAATATGTAACAGCATTTATATAATAAAACTCCATTATGAATTCACTTCTGGTCTTTTATAAATATTTCAAACAAAAGCACGCGACTTTTGAAAATCCCACAACCAGTGACATAGCAAAATTTATTACTAGTTCCAAAAATTCTAAAGACAGAGATATGTAGAAGACTTTCATTTCTTAGGTCTCATCCTTCAACCTGGAGATCATTCCACCATATGAAAAGATTATGAGACTATTTATTTTGCAGAAAATGACTTCTAGAAGTAAAATTTTCTCATTTTCTGGTTTTTGATTGCCAGAATATTAATTGGTCTGCTGAAGAGATTCGAGAAAATTGTCTTCCTTTTCTCTCAATCTGCAAGGTGATTTTGAAAGGCGAAAAAACTACCTAATCTCTTCACATCATCAAAGACACATGGCACCCACACCCTTACAACACAAAGCCTCCCATCACCAACAACACACCACCACCTCCCTTTCACCTACCAACAATAGCCCTCTCCTCCTCCTCATTCCTTTACTCTGCCTACGATTTGCCTTTCTTTCCCCTGTTCCTTCTTCTCCCTTCACCCTCCTCCCTTGCTCTCTTTCCTTCATCTTCCGCAAAGCACTAACTCCTTGTTGTGTGTTTTGCGGCTGCCAAAACTCAACAAGTCACAACCCATTGCTGCATTCCTCTGCCACTGACAGCTATTTTATATTTCTTTTTTAAGATTTGCTGCTTCATTTCTCATTTATTTGGATCTTTCTTTTTTTTTTTTGTGGTTGTCATTTGTTAACCTCTAATTTTCTATTTCTATAAGCTTTGATTAATTTTTTCGGAAATTTGCTTCACTTGGTTATAGTGATGATGGGAATTTATTGATCATAAAAGAAAAGGAATGATTCAGGTAGCTTTAACAGATTTCCATACAAAATTGTGGACTTGATAATATGATGGCAATTTGTTTGCTTTTTGATGTGGAGGTATTATTATTATTAGGGTTGAGATTATGGATAGAGTTTTGAAGATGGCTAATTAATGAATTTTATATTAAATGTTGATGATAAAAAGTTGGTACATGGTTATTGTTTTATGGAATGGAATTCTTAATAATAAATTTTATTAATGGTTTAAAATTTTTTTATTACTTTTTATCATTAATTATTTTCCTAAAACGAAACTTTGTAATTTGAAAAAAAAAAAAATGAAGATTTTCCATTACCTAACCAAGCAACAAAAAGTATTTTAAACTGTGTCATCCAAAGAACAAAAACTGTTCAACTTTTTACAGTAAAAAGTTTTTATGTTCCAAAAAGTCTATTTCTGCAAAGCAAGCATATCCTCAATATTCACGACTTTAGTTAAGTCTTTTCCTTTGTGGCTCTATTTAATGCTAATTCCACCCAATCACTTCAATAATCTCAAATTTTGTTTACCGCTAATGCCCATCGCATCTTTTAAGGTTTGACGTTCAATTAGAGATTTGATTTAAAGTGCAAGGGCGTGCTTGCAAGCTATTTCTATATAATTTTAATTTATGAGAATTGTGCCATGGCCTAGCATTATATCCTATGTTATTTTGACTCGGGTTTGTATTAGATATGATTATGTATCTGATAAGGGTATGTTCAAATTTTCTAAGTTCTCCCATATATTTGGAAGGTTGGATCTGCATACTCATGGCCGTTGAATATGTGTTAGACACAAGTACTTCAAAGAAAATGAAGAGCCGTGGTAACATAAATTATACCTATGACAGTGCTAAGACTAGAAGTGGAAGCATAGATGCTGTTTGTGTGAATTTGTTTGTGTGAATTTTAACAATTTAGTTACGCTATTGAATCTGGCTGGCATCAATGCCATATATTAAATACAAAATTTGAGGCAGTTTTCTGATAACTTGCCCTGGCAGGGATCTTGGCTTCTGCCATTGGGCTTTTGATGCAAGCAGATGCAAGAGGTTGCTGGAGAACGTGGAGGCTACCTTCATGGGCGAGGCGGTACCTCTTCTCTCTCTGTCATACACAATGCATTTTTGTTTGGTAAACCTGTATATTTTTATGGATTATTTTTGCAGCCTTGGACAGTGATGATTTGCTCTATCTCAAAGAGCAGATGGAAGCTGAGGAGGATGCTGAACGCCTCCTGCGACGCACTGAGAAACGTGCATTTGCTGCATTTAAGATATCCTTTCATGTTCAGCTAAATAAACCATATCTGGGATATACTAGCATTAATATTTTTTGCAATTCTTGTTTGGCCTGGCATGTAGATTTTGGGCATTTATGTTTTTCTGTTGGCAATCAACTCATTGAATCCACTGCCATGTGCTTTTTAGAGCATTGGTTTATTGCCTCATTTTTATTACATTGCTGTCATTATTGTTGTATGTTGCTTGCTCTTACCTATAACATTTTCCCCCAGTTAAAAGTAATTGTCTTTTTCTTGATAATTTTCGTGTCCTTCACTTGTAAGTATTACTTTGAAAGAGAAGGGGAATAAATGTTGACTCCACGAGTGAAGTGCTTTAATATAGACGACATTATCAATACAGTTTGGCCTTTCTATGATGTCAGTGTTAGTATCTGGCATTAGTTTCCACTTTATTTCCTCAGTTGCATTATATTACTTTATGAATAATCTCATTTTACACAGTTTGCTCTTGAGTGCTTTATTGCCCTGCCTTTAAGCTGTATTATCGAAGTTAGTGCCCAGAAGTCTTCCCCCTTTCTGGTAAATATCTTATATTGTTGCTCACTTTTTCTTAACCAATTAACACAAAGCTGCAAGTTTAGCAGATTCCTCACCTGCATCGTTTCCCTTGCCTCTACGTGTTGAACCCAAGCCAAAAAGTGGGATCAGGTGTCTCTTTCTCTCTATCTCTCTTGCCAGAAACTTGTCAGACCACATGCATGCCACGTGTCATGGTTATAGAGAAGAGTTATGAATCTCACATCAACTATGTACTAGAATTGGTTTTGGGATATAAGTATGACTCTCTAACTTGTAAGATGTTTTTTGTGGGATAAAACCGTGAGGTCCAATAGACGGAAGCAGATAATATCTTACAAGTTGGTGTGGACAGTGCCACTACACATGCACACACAAAAATATTTATATTTAGAGACACCTGCTCCGTTAAATTTTTTATTACTGCTTTCTGTTGTCTTCTCAGGTTTAATTTATGTTCACCTTTGTTCTGTAGACAGCAAGATTTGTTGAAAAAGGTTGTTGAAGTTAAACCTAAACGCCCAAAATTTTCAAGCTCCTCCGACGGAAATCAATCCAATTTAAAATCCCAGGAGTCCAACCATGAGAACAAGAATGAGCTTACTGTTTTGGAATCAAATAAAGCAGAAAAGCAGAATAAGGTGGAAAACCCTGCCAAATGCTTATTAGGCTTAACATATGCAAGTTCTGATGATGAAGAGTAATTGAATTTGCATTGGATTTTTTATACATCTTTCAGTTGTAATCTACATGATGACTTTTTTTTTCCCTTCACTTTCACCATCCCTGCATTCACATTTTGTGATATTGAGTAAATCTAAGAGATAATTTGTTTGTTTGAGCCAAAGAGAAAGTAGGAACAAGTAAACCATTAGTTTATTTTGTATATTTTTTTTCGTTTCTCTTGTATTTTTCTTCACTTGAGATTTAGCATCTCTAAAGTTAAAGGTCTGGAAGGCTGTAAAACATTTTACAACTTCATCAACCCTTTACGTAATTCTAGCATTTATGAGTCGACAATAGTTGGCGAGCTTGGTTGGTTTAGGGTGCTAGAAGATTATTCAATGCATCCATTTGACATGGGTTAGTGTGGTAGAAAGTGTAAGTCTGCACCAGACTTAAGCTTATCGGTTAGGTCAGGTTTGAGTTTGGCTTTAATATTTTAGTATTTTAAGCAAGTTGGATTCGGTTTAATTTTTTAGGTCTTATTTGTTACTCAAATCTATTTTTACATATAATAAAGTTTTATTTGGTTTAAAGTATTGGTATTTAAAATAACAAAATTAATTTTTTAATTATTAATTTAATTAATTTTAATTAAATTATGAGTTATTTGAATTTAGTATCAATTAATTTTATTAAATGTAATTTAAAATTAAAACATTATTTTGTATAAAAAAAAAGAGAGTTTTATCATATTATAAGTAATAAAATAAATGAATCTCATATATTATAAAAAAATCAAACAAATAGATTTTGTTTTTTTATGATAAAAAATATTTTTTAATTTTTGAACAAAGTTTAAACCTTGAATGGTGAAATTCAAGTTTGATTTTATTTTTTAATCAAATCTTATTTATTTATTCAAATTTATTTTAATATTCATGTCTAAATTATTTAAAATTTTAAGTGAATTTTCCAATTCGAGCAAATAGCTCGATCCATGAGCAAATCAAATCTATGCATTTATTTGACATTTTTATTTGAATTAGAAATTCCCGATGTTATTAATGCAACTCTTTCAAAATTTTTATTAAAAATGCGGTTTTGATATATATATATATATATATATATATTTATTTATTAAAATCTTATTTCTCTATCCCTTATCTTCTATTTAATTTTAAGTTGATGGCGTATTATATTTTATATAAATCTATTGGATTTGTACTTTCCCATTGATTTTATTCAATAATTATTTTGGTAATAAGTTTGAAGTCAATTCAATTCAACCATTTTTGGTTGCTTATCTATACTTGAGTAAATACCATAAAATATATAAAACCGATTCTACGAATAGCCTCTTTAAAACATATATAAATGGATTTTTTTTAATACTGTAGAAAATTTTAAAAAAATTCTAATAGAATATTTGAAAAAACTTACTTTTTAACAAATAAAAATTTATTTTAAAAATTTTATTTTAAAATATATTTTTATATTTTTTTATAATTATGACATATGACATCTCTATGCATGATGATATGATAAATATGTCACATATCATCGTGTGATTTTAATGTTATTTGAATTCTTTATTGAAAATTTTCTTAAAATACATGCACTAAATATGACATTAACAAAAAAATCTGTTAATGTTATTTGAGTAACTAAGGATGAAGGATAAATAAAAGAAATTAATATCATTCTCATTGTTTTTCTTATCATATAGTTACAACCTCTTTCAATAATTCATCTATTTAAAAAATTTAGGATCTATGATGTCATTTTGATTGAAGATTTCATGGAGTAATAACGGATAGAATAAAATCATATTCAATTTAATTTTTTAGATAATATATAATATTATTAATTTTTAAAATTTGATCTCAATCTTAATCAATCTCTTTTTATATTTAATTTAAATCAAATTTTATTGATTTAATTTGATTAATCAATTTTTAAAATTTTGTTTTTTGATATTATTTTAATATAAATTTTAATATATCTTAATAGATTTAAATATAAAATAATTATTTTATTTTATAACAACTTAAAATATAAATAAAAATATATAATTTCATGCAATTCAAATATTTTTAATTTTTAATCTAAAATTTGATCTCAATCTAATAAAAATATTTAATTTTAAATTTAAATCAAATCGAATAAAAAATTGATCTGAACTTAATAAAATATTATAATTTAATTTTAATTTTTAAAAATTTTTTCTCACTCTTATCTACCATGTGAAATTCCTTGACAAGAAGGGTAATTATTTAATTTCATTAAAGGATGAAACCAAATTTAAACCTAAAATTTTTTCCAACCAGCAAAAGCCTAGGCTATTATAACCCTAGGTCCCAATGTACACCATCCATTGAAGCATGGAGGTGACATCCAAATTGTGCTGTCTAAGCTAATTGGTAATGCATCTTATTCAATTTTCATTATGAACGGAAAATTATAGGAAAAAAAAGCAAAGCCGTTCCCTTTTACTTGTTTTCAATTATCATTACAGGAAAGATTTTATACGGAAAAAAAAGCATGAATGCACTCGTCAAAACTACTCATAGATACGGTTGATAATTTTAATAATCATTGAAAATTATTGATCAAGAAAGCTGGAAAAAAAAATAGTGTTCCAAACTTTTTTTTTTTCGATATCTAATTTATACTTGAACTCTTTACTTTTATATTTACTAGAAAAATTACCCCGTCTTGATGAAATTAAAATTTTTTTAATTTAATAATAAATTAGAATTTATTTTTTAGTATTTTATTGGTTTTTTATTTTAAATAAATATAATATTTTTTAAAAAAATCTGATACTCTAATTATGTCACCAAATTATAATTGAATAGATATTGACTTCTATTTTAAATAAGAGAGATTATTTTAAAAATTGTATAGATTAAATCTAAATCTAATAATACATACATGATAATCTAACCTATTGATATAATATTTATCTATTATCAATTTTAATTAATTATCAAATTCAAACCCATTTGTCTATGAAATCAAAGGTCACTAATATTATCACCCATTCAACTTAATTTTTTAAAAGAAAAAATCAATAATTTTATTATGATAAGAAGGGCACTATAATAATTTTGATCAATAATAAGTGGAGAGAATTTTTGTAATTATGGCTAAAAGGACATTATAATAACTTAGATTAAATATAATATTGGGGTAGTTCAATAATTATAATAAAAAAGATATTATAGTAATTTTAGTTAATTACAAGAGGGGTATTATAATAAATTTGGGCATGTGCTTTCAATTATCAAGTAACTAAAAAGATATTATGATCATTTCCAATGAAATGTTGATTGATTATGAAAATAGGGTCGCCATATTAAATTTTACGCGTGTCAAGCAATAAGCAAATAATTTGAAGGGCATAAATGTCATTTTTCATGGGTTTATTTTCATTATATAGTTATAATTTTTCAAATAAAATGACATATGTTAACTTCTTATGAACTAATTATAATGATATTTTTATAATTATAATAAAAGATATTATAATTATTTTGATCAATTTTGATGAAAATATATTTTTGTAATTATGATAAGAAGATATTATAGTAATTTGGATCAATCATAGTAGTAGGCAATTTTTATAATTATGATTGGAGAGATATTATAATAATTTTAGTCTAATACGATATGAGGGATATTTTCGTAATTATGACATAATAGTATTATAATAATTTTATATTTATAAGAGTAGTATTTTTGTCATTTAAGAATAAAGGATATTATAGTAAATTGACATTTATAAGAGAAGTATTTTTGTCATTTAAGAAATGAGAAAGTTATAGTAATCTAGATTCAAAAGAGGGGTATTTTGTCGATTACGTAGGAGGGCATTATTGTCTTTTTAGACACATGTAAAGCAATTAGCCAAAAATTATAAAGGTAAATTTGTCATTTACATAATAAGTTACTTTTATATATAGTTATAAATATGACATTACATAGTATAATCTTTTTTTAATGTGTAATTTTCAAACATCAATTTCAATATTATCCTAATTAATCCAAAAGTGAGAAAGTGTACAAGCATTGTTAATTCTAAAGAAAACAGCAAATAAATTTGGAATTTAAAAGAAATCAACAAAGTGAATTTTTAATTTTTGATGATATGTACAAAGTAATTGTTTCTATGTGCAAATACAAGGGGGAAACCCCCAAGAAACAAAAAAGACTAGGAAAAAAGAACCTATGCAAATCTTCGTCCCCTCTGCCTCTTAATCAAAAAACAATTAATTCTTTTATTCCACATGTGTAACAAAATTCCCCAATTGCATGCCCTGCCTATCTCAGACTTACAATTGTTTGGTTTACCAAGCCTAATGAGAAAACGAGTCTAGGCTATCTTGATTTTGATACTTTGTTTGTGTACAATGATCGGAAACAGGACTAGCTGTAATGCCAGGCCTTTGAGTGGATGACTCTGGACCTGTTTCTGGCTCATCTAAAGCTGAAGACCCCATAAAAGAACTACTGATAGTGTCTTCTGGACTCAGCACACTAGCATTCAAGAATGGAGGTTGTTTTGGAGAGGGAATCACACCACTTGTATCGGCTAGCATTTGAACTACTTCTGACATGAATGGTCTTAGCGCAACTGAAGCTTGGGTGCACAGAAGCCCAACGAGAAGCGCACTCGTTGCCTCCCTCTCGTCAAACCTGCCTTTTAAGCCAGAGTCAATAGCTTGTGTTATACTGTCTGCCTTGTATTGCTTCCAGACCTGATAGGACAAGGATAAATCACCAGATTTGCCAGAAAATGTGTTGCTGCTAACCCTACCAATTTATGGTTAACATTAGAGACATCAAAACTATATGTTTCTTCAACAAATTGTTCTAAACTTTCCTGGTGTAAGCAGCAGTTATTCTATCCTTAATTGGATGGTTTTGAGTAATCCGATAATGTCTTTGTTTTCTATACTTTTCGTTTATAGTTGGGATATTGTAAGAATTGTTCAGAACAGCTTATCAATTATACCACCAACATGTAGTCAAGGAAAATGGATCATGAATCTCACCGAGTACAAAATTGAACTTGAACCCTCAGAGAAAACACTGTTTTTCCTACCAGTTGCAATCTCAAGAACTAGCACCCCAAAAGCATAAACATCTGCCTTCTCTGTTAGTTGTCCTCGAACAAGATATTCAGGAGCCATGTATCCTCTGCAGCATAGATTTGTTTATCACAAGTACTTGGAAAATATTCACAACAGGAAATGACCCTTTTCTAAGAGTAATACTCGGAAAATATTCACAATAGGAATTGACCCTTTTCTAAGGGTAATTAGCAAGAAATCATGAACAGCATGAAGACTGAATCCTATAACTGGATACTCGAAATATCAAATCGTCTTCATTAAAATGAAGTTACTTCTCACCTTCATACCTTTAGGATGTCAAAAACAACATTGACGTAGGACTGAATGTTGAAAATAATAATGTCAAATTTGCACTAAAAGTAAACACTCGATAGTAAAATTAGATCAATATCTTACAATGTCCCTGCAATTGCAGTACTAACATGGGATTTATCTGAAGCAACACAACGTGCAAGTCCAAAATCAGCAATCTTTGGAGTGAGATTCTCATCAAGGAGAATGTTGCTTGCTTTTATGTCTCTGTGAATGATTTTAACTCCAGAACCTCCATGAAGATATGCTAGCCCTTCAGCTGTTCCACATATGATGTTGAACCGCTGTGACCAGCTTAGAATGTGTATTGTGTTCTTAACTGCATCGGATGAAGATTTTATTACGGTCTCGGAGGAAACTTCAGTGACAAAAAGTTACAGTAAAATCTTCCAATTATAGATGCTCTCCAGTAGCTAAATAAATAATAGTATGGCATTCAACCACTTACCAAAAAGGATTTGATCTAGGCTCCTATTAGGTACATATTGATAAACTAGAAGACTCTCCGGACCTTCAATGCTGCAACCCAAAAGCTTTACAAGGTTCTTGTGTTGAATTCCACTGATCAAATTTACTTCATTAAAGAACTGGTCCACCCACTGCCGGGTATTAAAGAACAATCTTTTAACTGCAACAGTTTTACCATTAGGGAGAATTCCCTTGAACACAGAACCTGCTCCTCCTTGGCCTAATTTCCTCGATTCATCAAAACTTTCAGTTGCCTTTTCAAGCGTTTCATACTTGAAATTTAAACTAGTCTTGTTTCCAGCAGCTGGAATGTCATCTAGACCGTCAAGCCCTTAGATAAGTCCGCAGAAAGCAGTGTATAAAAACATGGTTCAAACATCATTAAATTGTAAACAAAGCTATATTTATATATGGTATGTACCTTCTTTCTTCTTGGATAATCTCTTGTAGCTTATAAGAGCACCAACACCAGCAAGCAAAGTGAATGCAATTGCTGCTAAAGCCATTCCTATGATGACCCAATGACCAAACCCTACAAAGACGATACAACAATTACAATCACACATGACAAAATCCATAGTCGTAACGAAGAAAATATTAACAACTTAAATAAAGCCACTTATTTAATCTTTTACCCTGATTGTCATTTGTTTCTGCAACTTGATCAAAAAATCTATTGGTTGAATACCTCATATAACACCCAGAAAACATACCCTTGCCTTCAGCTCCAGGGGCACACTTCCTCAACCCCAACCCTGCATTCCTCAAACACTCTCTGCAGGATTCTTTATCAATTGTCTTCCAACACTGCGCCAATGCGTAAATGGTCACCAACCCTCCTTTCACCTCCGTTGCGGCGTAACCATTGTTTTTCAAAGCCATCTTCGTCACGTTCATGACCACTAGATCCAACTTATTTTGAAAATCCTGATAAATGTAGCTGTCATTGGAAACACCTTTAGGCGAGCCACACATTACGTGATCATAGTTGGCATCAAACCCTTCATTGTAGAAGCTATAGTTATCGAAACGCTGGAAGCACCGATCAAGATAGATTCGCCCCGATGTGGCATGGATGCACCTTTTGAGATCTTCTGTTGCTGTGTCGAAACAGATTCTACAATCATTTCCATTGACATCATCATAACATTGGCCTAATCCAAAGACATTAAATGGCGGATCGATCACAGAAAAGATTCCCCAGCCCTGGGCAGCAACCAATTCGGACAAAGCTCCCATAACTTTATTCACATTCCTAATAAAGGTCTGAGAGGTTTCGTTGGTAGTTCCACACATAAGGTGGGCTCTGAAGGCCTGATGATGAGAGAATGACGGCAAAAAACATGAAGAAAATATCAAGTACACCCATATTATTATATCCCAAGGATATGGGTTTGAGAATCGCATCGAATTCTAACCCGCCTCTTGCTCCTCTGTTTTCCTCTGTTTAACAATTTGTAAGGAAAACAAAATATTCACAGTTTCTGTTCAGGTTTTCTTCTCTTCTCTCCAACCCCTCTCTCTTTCTCTCTAAGCTTGAAGGGTTTGGAGAAGGAGAGAGGATTTTAACTCCTCATAGGTATGGAGCCATTCTGTGAAAAATATTTTGTGTTTGGTTCTGTTGCATGCATAATTCAAAGTTTCTTTGGATTTGTTTTGGCAGAGAGAGACAGAGGAAGATGACAAAGAAAGAAAAAGCAGACAGACAAACGAACTGAATTTAGTTCCTCTTTGCTTTATTTAGGCCATTTGTAGAAATCGCTACAATGAATTTGGCTGTGAGCCTCAGCCTCCATGATACAAGGAATTACATCTTACCTTTCATGAAAATATGTGGATGTTTACGTAAACGCCGCTATAAGCATTAGTTCATGTCAATCTTGTCCATTATTATGAGAAATTTAATTTTTTATCCGCGTAAGAATGTAAATAAATATTAAATTTTAAAATAAGAATCAGAATAATTTTAAAGTTTTCATTGGATATGAAAATAAAAATAAATAGTATACTACCTGTTTCATAGTCATATTTTATATATATTTAATAAATATATTTTTTAAAATAATATTAAATTTTATTTTAAATTAATTAAAATTAATATATTTTTATTTAAAAACATATTTTAATATATATTTATAAAAAAATTACTTAAATGTAAAAATCAAAATAAAAAAGTAAAAAAAATTATTTTTATTTTTTAAAAATAAGTTATGGATATAAAAATTATCGTACTCACTTAATAGCTACAATAATAAAATTTAAGATAAATTTAAAATATTTATTAAATATGATAAAAATAAAATTTAATATAAAAATTTAAAAATTAAAAAAAAATAAAAAATCTATATATCTTATATCCTACCCATTAATTTTTTATTTTATACCCTACGTAAATGGATATCTGCATTTGGGGCCCTATAAGCCGCCAAGGCAATAGAGATTTTTTCTTTGCTTTATAGTGTGGGTTTTTTATGTATCTAATAATTTATTATTTTATACATATTTTAAAAAAGTTTCAATTACTTTTAATACTTTTTCACAATAATATCACATTTTTTAGAGACACTTTTTCCAATACAAAATTTTTTTATCAGTACCAGCAATGTTAAACCAATAGAAGAGTATAATTGAATTTTACTATTGAGATTTGAAATACTTGTTTAAAAGTTATTATCTTTATAAGATACAATAAAAATTCAAAATATAAATAAAATGGGTTAATATTATGAATGATTTCGAATTATAATAAAATATTAAATATGATTTTAAATTTTAAAAATATTTAATATAATATCTGAATTATATTTTATTAATTAATATGGTGCATGAAAGATATTTTATTTTTTATGTATCATCATTTGAAATTAATTATATTAAAAATAAATTTTATATTAATTAATAAATTCATAATTTATGTATCACATTAGAGATTTTTTAAATTTATGTATTATGTTAAATATTTTACTATAATTTAAAAGCTATTTCTAACATTATTCGGAAAAAAAGTTTTTTTTAATATTCAAAATTCTTTTAAAGTTCTTTGAGCTAAGCCTACATTTATGAGTTACACAAGTACTAAAGACATACGAGTTGTCTTCTCTATAATTTTTTTTTGGCAATGTGAGAGGCTTTGGGCATGAGATTCTTCCATAATCCATATCAATTTTGAGTTATTGTCTTCTTTGTCATATTATCTTCAACAGTCCTAACGGCGGATATTTATAAAGTAACATTGTGACAAGAGATATATTTCCCATATATTGTTAGATGTTCAAAATTTTAAGAAATGGTATAAAATATAAATCATGCATTACCTTGGAATGATGCCAAGATGTGTCTCATAATGACATGTTTCTTGGAAAAAAAATTATGGGAATATAAATTAAAAAATTCATTACCTTTGAAAATAGAAGAAAAAAATAAAAAATTCTTTGAATAATTTTACCATATTTATGATTTAAGCTGCTTAAAGACTCACTAATTTAATATTAAGTAATTACAAATAATTAATAATTACTAAAAAAGTGAAGTTGTTTTAATTATCTACTGCAATGAATTAATTTTCATATTATAATTAAAACTTAATAATTTAAAATCAATAAAATAACTAATGAATAGATCCTGTAATCAATCAAAACTTTTATTACAATATAATTAATAAAAAATTAATTTAAAAATGACATTATTTTTTCTTAATTTTTTGACAAAAAATTGATCTCGTAGAAAAAAATAATGTGAAAAAGAAATTATTAGAAAAAAAAATATATTTTATTGAAAAAATTATTAATTTGAACTTTGACAATGAATATTGTCCAAGAACACAATTAGGGGTACTGGAGTTGTTATACTAAGGTGCACTTCAAGGCTCAAATCAGTATTATATCTAAGGTAAGGAAAGAAAGATATAAAAGTGGTGAAATATATGGAGGAAGTTTTAAAGGAGGGAAAGTTCAGAGTATGTAATGGGGTTCTTTGTTACTTACCTGGTCTTTCAATTTTTTTATGTATGAAACTAAGAGACGATGACTTGATTGAAACAATATATAGCTGATGAGATATTTGTGTAGAACTCAAGATCAGTCTATGTAGATAGATGTGAGTCACATTAAATAATTTTAGATAAACATGAATTTTATTTAATGATTTTAAACAAATTAAATGTCAAATGATTAATTTTAAAATGATTATCGTAATAAATTATCAATAAAATTTTGGGCGAATCTTTTCTTTGTGGGCAAATCATTTTTTTTAAGAGCAGGTAATGTAGCTATCTAAGTGTGTCTTATTTGGACGACTCCAAAGCATGATTGTATTAATCAAGTCTCGATGAAATTAACCACTAACAAGTTGATTTAGGCATAACAAATCCAAATGTCTTGTATTTTCAATCTCCATCACTATACAGCTTAACAAACATTGCCTCCTTTTATTTATTTAAAAAATATATAGCCTACAAAGAAAACTATAGGTTTCATTATATTATATTTCTTAACAATTAGTAAGAGTTACTTTCAACAAGAAATGCACAATAATAAATTTAAGAATTGTAACATTTAAAAAAATTCAACAAAATAAAAGAAATATTAAAAAAAAGGAAAATACAAAAGTATTAAGGCTTTTCTTGATATGAATGATGAAAATGGCAAATATGAAAAATTTGTTAATTTAATGGATAAGTTATAAAATAGAAAAATAATTATGAATCTTAACTATTATATTAACAAAATTTTCATTTTTACCCATCTTCATCCTTCTTATCAACCAAAGCACAAGTGTATAATAAAACTGGTTGTATCATTTTTTCATAATTAATCACATGCAATTGAATCATTAAAAAAAATTAAGAAGTTAAAATTAGGAAAATGATCAAATTTATCACTGAATTAGATTGAAGGTTCCATATTTATCACCTTACATTTTATACAAAATTTTTACTAGTTTTTAATACAATTCTAGTCACCTATGGATGGAAATAAAATATTTAATTCAAATTAATAACTATTTTGTTAAGAATTTCAATTATTTCTTTAATTTTTATTATGTAAAAAGCAAAAATATTTTATTTCAAATTATAGATAAAGATAATGCAAATAATTAAATAAAATAAAAATAATTAAATTATTTTCTAAAAAAACCAACAATTAATGTCACTAATTTTTTTACTATATATTTTGTATATTTTTCTTTTTTTAAAAAAATGATTAAGTAATTATGTGATGTTGCTGATATACATAATTATCTTTTACCTAGTTTTGTAATTAAAAATGTAGTTAAATAATTCTAATATAGTGTTTTTGGCAAATATTATATTATATAGTCGTAATTTTTTTTCATTTTCTCCTAAATATCATTTACATTTACTATACAAAAAAAAAAAAAGAGAGAAAAATTGAATGTGACTTTTGAGGGAAAAAAGAAATTTTGAATTTGATGACTTTAAGTTCACTTGTGTTAACTTTTTTATTATATATTATATATTTTTATTATTATACCAAAAATCTAAGAGAATTATTTTTAGAAAAAGTTAGTAAAAAATATATAAAATATATAGTAAAAAAATTAGTGGAAATTTTTTTATATTTTTAGAAAAGAATATAATCATTTTATTTTTATTTAATTATTGGTATTATCCTTATTTGAAATAAATAATCTTTATTATTATATAATAAAAATTCTTTATAAAATATTATTAATTTAAATGGAATATTTTATTTTCATCCATAGATGACTAGAATTGCATCAAAAATATAGTAGAGTGACAAATTTATATGTAAAAAAAAAAAAGAAAAAAGTAAAGTGGTAAATATAAAGCTCACAATATAGTGTAATGGCAAATTTGAACCTTTTTCCCTTACAATTATTATAACTACAACTTTGTTTAAAACTTTTATTAATATTAATCGATTAGGACTTGTCAAATTAAAGTTAACAGCGCGTAGAACTGTTAATTGAATATAAATTTTATATAAATATTAAATTTAAAATAATTTAAATTGACAAATAACATTTTAAAAATATAATGAACTAATATGTTTATTTTAGTTACTTCAAAATATTTTTCATATCCGTGCGTTTATATTATTATTACAGATTTGGTGCTTCAGATAATGAAAAATCTTGCCAAATAGATTAGGGGGAGGTTGAAGCTTTAACTTTCACAGCATCTTTAAGAAAACGAATGTTTAAGAATAGTAGATCTTTTAGAAGACTACTAATCTGGCAGGGAACCTGAACATATATTTAAACTAAGCTCTTGAAAAATAGTTCCACCATTAATTCCTTGCCATTTCCAGCTCTTTTTTACCCCAAAGGCTTTGCTTATAAATGGGTGATCAGTATCGTCAAGTCAGTGCAATGTAGAAAGGTCCTTAAACTTGTAAATCTACAAACCATGTTATGACAAACATCATCTTTTTTCTGTGGACACTAAAATCATATCCTATTTGAATGCTCAACACAGACAAAGTTCTTTTCCTTGAGAGGGGGAGGGGGTGTGATTCTTGTGTTGAAAATGTTTAATATATAAATGCATCAGTACAAAGAAAATGTTGAAGCGTTTTGATGATGATGATAAGCATTTCATTTGACATCAAAGTTCAGGATCAAGAATATATATACAAAGCAAGACAGTGGATAAACTGTACGCCCATAACAGCAATTTGCATGTTCTCTTACGGTTTCCAATGATGTTTCCTTTTATTTATATACCAGTTGTTTATTTGTTTCTGGTCTAGCCCTGTTGCTTCAGTAAGGGCAACCTGCGTGTGATTAAACTGACTGAAGTAAGTTGCAAAGAAAAAGACATGATATTTTCTTCTTTGATTTTTTACTTCAATTTCTTAAACAGTATAAAAATATTTTAAATGATCTACAGGTAGTCCTTTAGGGACACGTTTACCGTAGGATATGGCCACCAGGATGATCCTGCAGCTTCATCTAGTAAGACGATATTCGTGAGACCAGGTTGATCAAAGTTACAACTATAAGATTTTCCCTTGACTTCTAATTTCTGATGCAAGCAAAACATTCCAAGACACAAAAGTAAATGTAGCAAAAAAGAACAGAAAACTGATCATGCAGCCTAAATTTGATCAAAAGTTAATGAGCAATCCATTGGAACCAAGTCATGAACCACGTTTCACAATTCATGGCAGTTACCCCTCCTTCCCAACCCAAATAAAATGTGAGCTAAAAATAAAAAATCACATGAAATGCAATTCACAACTCACAGGGCAGACCAGACCAGAGAAGACTGTAGAAAGAGGTCCACCTTGAAGTTTTTTAAGCAAGTCCATTAAAACCAAACCAAACCATGTTAGGTCCATTATTACTTTTCTTTATATATATAATTTTTGTTTGGGGAATGGGGCAGACGACAGAAGCCACATGGAGGGCTAACGTCCATGGTCTCCCAGATATGCTACAACTCTCTCAGCCATGCTTCAATACTTTCTAGTTTGTTTGTAGGGGACCCCACATTCATTTTCTAGGGGGGAATTGTTTTTCAGGGCTTTTGCGAAAGTAAAAAAGATAGAGAAACAGCTGTGCCTGTGTTTTATGGTCAGGCCTTATAGCTAAGATAGTGGTCCTGGAGATGTGCGCAAACAGTGCATGCCTGGAAACATGTTGATAAATTGTGTGGGCAGTGTGAGCCTTAATCTCCAAGATGTGCGGGTAAGTGTGAGCAATGGGTGGGCACTCTAGAGTCGGGTAGCTAGTCGGATGCTGTCAATCAAAGTCGTGCGCAGCCACCCTCAAATGGCTTTGTGGAGTAATTAGTGAAATGCTAAAATTATGGTGGCCAAGAGACAGTTCACTGGTCCTTGAGTTGGTTGAAGAATGGCCCTGAGATGGCTGTGAAGAAAAATGTTTTCATTTTAGACATTCTTACGGTTTTTGGTAGGATGGTAGGGAAAGCTTTTACGCTTTTTATAAGAGAACAATTAGTGTCAGCTCTTCACCACCCTTTTGGCTAGTAGGTAAGTAGGGACCTAGCTAGTCTAAAATGAGCTATTCCTAGGCACGTGTGGTGTCTAGGTGGGAGATCATTGTTGGGTCACGAGTGTGACACGATGTCTTTTCAGATCATGGTAAATCTAGGGATGGTTGGGGCCAGTAGGCCTTGTATCGCATTGTTGCATTGAAACGTGGGGTTAGATGATATCATTGGTTATGCCCTATCGATTTCCCCTCTTTAAGTCAGTTTGATAAGTAACCAAGGATCACGATATGGTATTTGCGTAAAAGGGGCACCATCGAGCCTGAAGGATAAGCGAGCTAGCAACCAAGCATGTTGCTAGACTTTTGTGACCACTCAGTAAAGGTGTGTTATGATTGGAATAGTACACCTAAGTCCCTTAAGATGGGATAAGCATGATATAAGGTGTCCATCATGCATGCTTACATCATGCATACAGGAAGCCTAGAATGAGGTTAAGGGTTGAAGCCTTAAAATATGAGTTTCATAGGAAAATGTGAGCCTATTATGGCTCTAGGCTAGCTGTTAACTAGCGTTTTGTTGTGCCTTTAGGTTCTAGGCACGAAAGCTTGAAGATGATTCGAGTGAATATGGTGTTGGGTTCTCACTATGCCAAAAAGAGATAATATTTTGAAAATTGAGGCTGTGCACCTTTATGAGCAAGATGGGTCGATCTTTAGCACCTTGATGCTTGCGGACAAAGATATGTGCTCAGGGTCACTCTGAGAATCGTGAGCTAATGAAATGATGGGAGTTGTGTTCCTCCCTATTGAGTTTGGGAATATTGCATGCGACTTTATGGATTTAAGCTAGGAAGAGCTTGAGTATATAGCTTGGAGGATCAATAACGATCTGTCTATAGAGAAATGGACTTAAGAAAGGTTGACATCGACTATGAGTAGTCAAGGTATAGCACAAATGCGTGGTTTTGGTTTAAAGAATATGCGACCCATGATATTGTGGTATTAAAGCCTAGTTCGGCTCAGTCGTGGTACTAAAGTGACCTTAAGTGTGGGCACGATAATGAGAAATTGAGGTAATGCTAAGCTTAAAGAAAGTTATCGAGGCACAATTGTGATAATGTGGCTATGTGGGCTCGAGAATGAGCCATTGATGCATGCTTTAGGAAAAATTGGCCTAGATGGAAGGCCTTCTAATGGAGTCTTGGATGCTAAGTGAAAGGGCATAAGAATCTGCCTTACCTACCGAAAGGTGTTAGCACGTGTAGGTATGTAATGCCCTTACAGTGGGAAAATAATGTTGAGATGAAATGTAACAAAAGGCTACCCTTTAAAATGGTGTTGAGCAAGGCCATGTGGGCCAATATGCGTGCGGTCTTGAGGGACATAAGTTGAGCTTATTGAGATAAATTACTAATGTGTGCACTCATTGTGTGGTATAGGTACCTTAACGAGGATACGAATCAAGTATTTGGGGTCCAAGCGTTGAGCCATTCTACAAAGGCAGATGAGTTTGAGTTGGCTGAAGATTGAAGCCATAAGTTGATGATGGTCAGTGGATCATGAATTCTTATGGTTAGAGGATCATGAGATTTTGTCGGTCAGTAGACCGTGTTTATGTTGGTCTAGAAAGAAGGCTTTATAAGATGTGGTGATCAGCAGACCATGATAGTATGCAGTTTAATGAAACGAGTAAACGAGAATCGGCTAGTTGATAAGACTTTAAGTTGTGTGGGTAAAAGGATTAATTGAGTTAAACAAAGCCGATGATATTGGCATTTGAGACTGGACGAGTTTGAGCATGGCAGAATTGAGCCAATTGGGATGGAAATAAGTTCCAATAGATTAATGGATTTTGAGTATCGACTAGGTTGGTGAACCCTGAAATGAAACTGGTTTAGAGACCTTGTGTTTAGAGTTGATCAGTGGATTTTTGAGCTATGTATGGGCTTTGGGTTGCCCTTTTGAGCTATGCCAGAGTCAAAGCAGATAAGGTGTGAAACCATCATTGAGATATGGTTGCATGCAAAGTCGAGATGAGTTCGAGTAAAAGTGGGGGAGACTTATGATTTTTTGTGGTATTGAGCCTAGGTGGTAAAGCCTATGAGATATTTAAGCAAGAGTTCAAGTCCGAGATAGCGTGCATTAAGGTGCTGCCACGAGGGCAATTAGCTAGAAAGGGCCACACGTAAAGAGATGACCTTGAATGGGCTAAAAGGACCCAAGTTGTGAGATGACCAAACTGTTTGAATGCCACTATGCTAAGATTTATTGTGAGTGGTGCCATATGAGTGTAGTTGACCTAAGCACCACGTCCAAAAGGGCGCATCGAAGAGTCAGTGTTGTAGGCATATGGTTGGTGTGATAGGTCACATCCAGCAAGATGCACCAATGTGTGACAAAGCAGGTGGTCATTCATTCGACTAAAGGTCATAATCAACAAACGTGCCTAAAGGTCGCAACATTATGAGATCATAGAGGAAGTTGTGCAGTGGCACATATTGAGTAACTGAGATAAAGTCTAATGGTCTGAAATGGAAACCATACAGAGGTGCAGCGGAGTTGGGATAAGACCTATTGACATCGACAATGAATAAGTATTGTGGGCGGTGCCTCATGTGACGGGATCTCAACCCAATCTTTGAAGGCACAAGTGATGGACATATGAGAAAATATCAACAGTGTGCAACAAGAGAGTTGGGTGTGGTTTTGGCGTCAATAAGGGTATTGACATAGTAAATGGGAAAGAGTGTCATGGTCAGGCCTTGGTGTGTCTCGGTCCTACCATGACTGTCTTTGAGCTAAGCAGTGGAAGAGGCCTTATGGTCAGGATAATGGTCTTAGAGCTATATGCTAATAGTGTAAGCCCGAAAACATGTTTATGATAAAGTGTGTGCGCGGTGTAAGCCCTAGTCCCCAAGACACGCAGGCAAATGTGAACCAATGGAAGGGCACCTTAGAGCTGGGTAGCTAGTCGGGTATTGTCTATCAAAGTCATGTACGAGCACCCTCGAGTGGGTTGGTGGAGCAATGAGTGGAATGTTAGAATTATGGTAGCCAAAAGATAGGTCATTGGTCATTGAATTGGTTGAATAATGGCCTTAAGATGATTGGGGAGAAAAGTGTCTCTATTTTAGACATTCTTATGGTTCCTAGTAGGATGGCTAGGAAAGCTTTTACGCTATTTATAGGGAGACGACTGCTGTCAACTCTTTACCATCTCCATGACTAGCGGGCAGGCAGGGATTTGGCTAGTTTAAAGTGAGTTACTCCTAGACACATGTGGTGTCTAAGTGAGCGGCATCGTCAAGTCACAAGTGTGGCAGGATGTCTCCTAGGATCATGGTAAATTCGAGGACGATTGGGGCCAGCGAGCCTCATATCGCGCTGTTGCATTAAATCATAAGGTTAGATGATAACATTCGTTATGCCACATCGATTTCCCCTCTTTAAGTTGATTTGATAAGTAACCAAAAATTACAAGATGGTATTTGCATAGAAGAGACACCATCGAGCTTAAAGGATAAGCCGACTAACAAGCAGGCGTGCTACTAAACTCTTGTGGCCAATCAATAGAGATGTGTTATGATTGAGGTAGCACACCCAAGTCTCTCCAGGCGGGATGGGCATAATGTAAGGTGTCCATCATGCATGCGGGCAGCCTAGAATGAGACTAAAGGTTGAGACCTTAATATATGAGTTTCGTGAGGTGAGATGAATCTACTATGGCTCCGAACTGGCTGCTAACCAGCATCTTATTGTGCCTTTGGATTATAGGCACAAAAGCTTATGAATGATCCATGCGGGCATGGTGTTAGGTTCTTACTATGTCAGAATGAGATAATATTCTGAAAATCGAGGCTATGCAACCTTCTAAGCAAAGAGGGTTAGCGATCGGGACCTTGATGCTTGCAGATAAAGATGAATGCTCGAAGTCATCTTAAAAATCGTAGGTTGATGAGATGATAGGAATTGAATTCCTCTATATTAAGTTTAAGAACCTTATAGGATCTAAGTTAGGAAGAGCTAACGAATATGCGACTTGGAGGATTGGTAATAATCTATTTATGAAAAAAATAACTTGATAAAGATTAATCTCGATTATGAGTAGTCACCATACTGCACGGAAGCATGATATCGGTCTAAAGAATGCCCGTGACACTGTGCGTGCGCACCCTGCAGTAGCAACCCGCAAGACACGCACTGCTTCTGGGTTTTTGGCATTTCAAAGCTTCTAGAAAACATTCAGTCAGGTCTGATCAGTAAGGAACAACAAACTAAAATTAAAATTAAAAGTTACTACTAAAAAGCTCAGTTGCATCAAAGTATACTGTTTTTATGCGACCAACCCGGTAATTCCCTCAACCTTGGATAAGGTTAAAGACTTCAGGTGAAGGGACCTCTACGTCGTCGTTTTCCACTGGGGTTAGGTTAATTTTTTAGGGCACATGTGATCAGAATCCCGAGACTGGGCCTTAGGGAATTGGCTGGACGAGAGGCGGAGGCAGGTTTTGGCAGTAATTCAATGCTCAGGCTCCTGAGCTATTTATGACCACTTCAATCTATCATAACGCTCTTCCCCTGGAATCTAGTATAGTAGGTAGCAATCACAAACTTTCTGGTTACAGCGCGGAAAAACCTAACCAACATAACGGTATTTTCTCGTTCTCTCATTTTTTTTCCATTTCCTAATATGCCAAAGTTTTTCTTCTACGCTTTTAATCTACTTATTGGTTTTTTTTTTTCAATTCTGTGCTTATAATCTGTTTGATGAAATGCCCAGCTGAGGAATGGATGTGGCTCATTGCTATTTAGAAGGCAATGCTGATGCCGTAGAGTTTTGCCCCCACGAAGGTTATCTACACGTGCTGGCGGCTTCAACGTACACGCTGCAAGAAGGTGATCAACCGAGCCGAGCTGGTAGTATTTCATTATTCGATGTTAATACCGAAAAGGGTCATCTCGAGTTGCTACATCGCGTAGAGACTGCTGGGATTTTTGATATTAAGTGGAGCCCAGTTGGAGGCAATGTGGGCCCTTTCCTTGCTCAAGCTGATGCTGATGGGTACTTGAGAATCTATAATTTAGAGGGTTGCCCTGATGAAGAGAGAGCTAAGGGTATGTTGCATGTTATGTTGAGCATTGTGTGTTCTTTTTTTAGTCTTCTTGCTAATGAGTGATGACTGAATGTTATTCATAATTTATCAAACTTACTTTGCTATGCTTGAAAATCCACTTTGTCATTGGATTGAAGATTCTAATGATTCCAAAGCGGAATAACTACTTAGATTGTTTGGGGAAAACAAACAAATATCATGCCTTTTAATCCATGGTAATCAAGTTCATGGGAGTAATTAAAGGTAGGTAATTATCGATATTCCTGTTAACAGGGAAAAGTATATAAGGGACTTGAATTGATGGATGAAATTTTACCTTGGAGAGCCTTTGTTCTAGGATGTATACGAACTTAATTATATGAACTTTTAAATTTCTTTCTACTTTAAATTAGTGGTAGAGCATTCTAATAGTTCTTTCTACTTTAAATTATTTGAGAGCATGCTAATACTGGTATTCATTTCAAATTGCCATCCATTTTCTGCTACTCAAAATTTTGCTCCTTGCTACAAAGTGATTGGCAAACATGGGGTAGTAGAAAATTGATTCAAAATGTGCTATGTATCTAATTAAAACTTCTGTGGTAATACTAGTAAGAAAACATATTTTTGAGGCTTAAGTGAACTTTAGCAACTTTTGCCCTATCGTTAATTTTTTAGGTAACTGACTTTAACGCCATTTGAGTTAATCATGGCCATAAAACATACAATATTACTCCTTGGAGCAAATATATTCTATGCTATGTCATGTGTGCATGTGCAAGTGCTATTAGAGGTAAAGAGTTTATTTCAACATTAAGTTGGATTATCAATTTATCATTCTATGTTTGTACTTTTCCATTTGATAATGTAAATTCAAGTGCTGATTAGGACTGCTTCACAGCATTTTTAGTATGTTTTATTCTACATCACATTCATGGCATTAAAATTCTTATGTTGCCATTGATAGAGAAAGTACGTTGCTTATGGAGCAGGGGATTAGCCTTTTTTTAAACAAAAAATCCTTATATTTATTTATCTTAAATGCAGGAGGCTTTCTTAATGCAGTCTGTGGTGAAAAAATCAGCTCCTCCATGTGCCTTTTCCTGGATTGGAACCCATCAGCCACGTCTATGTCAGTTGGACTTTCAGATGGTTCTGTTTCAATAATTTCTCTTGTAGAATCTGGAATAGAAACATTACAAGAGTGGAAGGCACATGATTTTGAGCTTTGGACAACTTGCTTTGACATTCACCAACCACAATTAGTATATACAGGATCAGATGACTGCAAATTCAGTTGTTGGGATATGCGGGATAATCCTTCCAAGATGGTATTCCAGAATTCCAAGGTCCATAAGATGGGAGTTTGTTGCATTGCCAAGAGCCCCAGTGACCCAAATACTATACTTACAGGTAGCTATGATGAGTACTTGAGGGTATGGGATCTGAGGTCTATCTCAAGGCCAATAAATGAATCTTCAGTTTGTCTTGGAGGAGGAGTTTGGAGAATCAAGCACCATCCTTTTGTATCAGGCCTGGTCTTGGCAGCTTGTATGCATAATGGATTTATGGTTGTTAAAATTGCAGGGGAGAAACCTGAAGTTGTTGAAACTTACAATCAGCATGGCTCACTTGCATATGGGGCAGATTGGCAGAAAGAGAAATTATTACCAGGATGCAAGACCAAGAGCACTATTGTGGCTTCTTGCTCATTTTATGACCGGCTTCTTCGCATATGGATGCCAAAAAGTGATATTTGCTGCATTTAAGCACATTCATTAGTTGAGTTCGCACCAAACCAGGTATGTTGGTTTAGGGAATTTTTTTTCAAACTTAGATATGTATTACCTACATATCTAATCTTTGTTCTTTCCAATTAATCATGACAGGTAGTTTTGCCCAAGTTATGCAATCATGAATGGAACTTTTGTGTCAAGTGGGGCTCAAACATCTATCCATAAAACGAGGGTATCCGTATACTATCCTATCAAACAATGATTTAATCAAGGAGGACGTAAAGTTTGATTAGTATAAATTTACAAGTAAAAAGGATATATAGGAGCATTATCTTAAATGACCTTTCGGTATCAGTGTGGTAAGTAGCAGAGATAACTTTATGCATATTGACGTGATCTGTTAATAAAATATTAGATTTTTAATTTAAATGATCAAAGATCAATTTTTGATAATTTCAAAAATATATAAATATATATATAGGGGGAATAATTTACATAGTATTAGAGGTGTTCACAATTCAATCTTAATCGAATTAGTAGACTGAATTAATTTAATTTAATTAATCGATTAATAACCGAATTAATTTTGATTGGTTATCGAAAATAATTTTAAAAAAATTTTAGTTTTCGATTAATTCAGTTTGAAAATCAAATTAATCGAATTAATTAAAATTTTAATCAAAATATTATAAAATTTATATATAAAACTAAAAATATATGAATTGGTCCATTTCATATCAAGTTATTAGAGTTTTTAACTTAATACTTTAGTATTTGAATAGTTTTGTTAAATAATTTTATTTAATTTGTTTCGCATATAAGAAAATAAAAATAAAAATATAATTTAATTTAATATATTTTATTATTTGATTAATCAAAAAAATTAATTGAATTGATCAAATTAATTTTGATCAATTAATTTTTAAAATTAAAAAATTCAATTCAATTAATAAAAATAAAATAATATAATTTGATTAATGTTATTTCGGATAATTTTATAGATTATTTTTGTTGCAAACACTTTTCTTTTAACACTCAGCTGGAATCCAAACAAAGAGATCCACTTTGTCAAACCAGTGTCTACTTCTTAGTTGGGCTGCTCAAGATTGGTTTTAGCCTGGCCAATATATTATAGCATGAACATTATTCTTCCTTGAAAAAGCATGGAATTAAGTACATTTAACCTAGGGAGTTATTTACAAGCTTGGGAGGCTAGCATTCACGTGTGAGTAGTGGCAAATGGTGGTGGCCTGGTGGGCCTGAAACGGTCCTTGTTCACTTTTTATTCTTTTGTTCTTTTCTTCCGTGATAAGATTCCACTGCTGCAGTTGATATAGCTAACAACATGCGGATGAATTTGCACTGCGAAGCCATTGTCGAGGTACTGTTACTTCTCAAAAGTTCTCTTCTTATTCTTTTGTTAGTTTCTCATCCATTGAGCCGGAAAAAGATAAAAAGATTTGGATGTTTTGTAACTTCTGTTACACTGAATTCTGCCAAATCATTACTGTATAATATGATACCTTCGAGGAAATACTGAATGTTTCAATAAGTTAATTCAAGTAATCTTTCTCCACCCACTGTCAGAAAGATTAAAAAAAAAAAAAAAAAACCAAGGGGAATCCTGTACATTTTGTGTTAAAAAGTACCCTTTTAAAAATAATTGGAAAACGTGTAAGAAACTTGTATTTATGGGCCTCAGATGGGCTGAAAGGATCTCATTTTTTGCGCCAGTTGGTTTGGCTTGTTCTTTGGGTTTGTGGCTTGTTCAAACTTCATAACTGCTATAGCACCCTGTCTCGTCTTGCACATGGGATGGTTGTCTCCATGTATGTATGCCAGTTGTTCAACTCTTAATAATTTGCTATTGTCAGGTAATTACTGTATGACATTCCATTCTTTTAAAATCGTTCTCTCAATATAATGTTATACCTAACCTAAGTTTTTTTTTTTTTTAAAAAAGAAACCTTTCATTTGTTGAATCCAGCTTGCTAGCTTTTTCTGTGCCCATTTGATAACAGTCCATTTTGCGTTGGAAAATTTTATTCTCTCTTTATGTCTTGTATCTTATAGCTTTCATGTCTTATTCTCTATTTATTCATATATTCTCTGTTGTATTTGTGAAAGAGTCATGAGGAATGGAAAACGCAGTGGCAATAGGTAAAGAGATAATGTTTTAGAGGTTGAGCTTCAAAAACCATTTATCTTATTAGAAACTGCTGCTGCTGCTGCACTTGTCAATTTAAATGATGGAGATCCTCAATCACTTTTCTTTCAGTCCTTGCCATTTTGTTTTGTTTTTCTACTCTATTGTGGGGCCTAACTCACCAGACGACACCTACACTTCCTTGTTCCTTAAATCCCTTTTTCTCGTTCACATTCATTGTTGAAAGTGATGACACCCTGAATCAGTTTCAAATGTTGCCTATAAATCTTGGCTTTTCTTGGATGTTAATAATATATATATTAAAAATCCAGTAAAACATTTTATTTTTTGGGTTTCGCTTGATTATTTGAGTACGAGAATTGAGGATGAGTGGGGAAGAAAAATTACCACTTATAGTAAACTGATCAAAATCAGCGAAAAAACTTGTGGGTCACTTCACAGCAGGCTTGTTATTACCACTTGAAGGTGTTTAAATCCAATATGCACTTGAAAGTGTTTGTTTTTCACTTTTTCTTATCAAGTGAAACAAAGGAAATTCCACATTTATTTGAGGCCACCATTTCATATACATTAAACTTGATGTTTGTCATTGAGGGCAGACAAAATTTATGACACCCAAAATGTAGGCCTAGTTGTTCTAAAAATATGTTGCCATCTATACCTTTTTATCTTTCATATGAACATTTGTCAATATCAAGGATATATAAAAATTTTAAATATGATATGATAATATAATATAAAAATAATTAAAATAATAAGTTTTAAAATTTTAAAAAAATTATATATAAATTTAATAAAAAAATAAATTTTATTCTATATTTGATGCGTTGATACTAAATATGATATAATAATTTTTATATTTTATATTCGTTAAACATGAAATAAATATATACTTCAACTGTATCACCAAAATAAGTTTTCTGTTAATGTTTTATGACTCAAATATTCAATTTCAAGGTATGAATCTGCCCCTCATCAAATGTATTTATTTATAGGGAGAATTGGCAAATGGTCAACTTCGTTGGAAGGAAAAATAAATTGGTTGAAGGAAAGAGTCAATCAAAGTTCCCCAAGTAAGAGGCAAAGTGGAGTAGTTATAATCAAGAGAAAGAAGTAAATTCAATAAAGAAGTGTGCATCAGCAGGACGCAAACTGTAAAGCAATAAGCATTTAATTCAATTCTCCAAGTTATAAGCAGTAGCAGCATAACTATACCATTTGTTGAAACGTTTGTACACTCCTTGCTCTTTCCTATATACTTCCTTTTTATTTATTTTTAAATAATAAGTATATATTCAATATATAAATATATATTGTAATTTATACAAATATTTAAAATTAATACTATGGCTCAAAAAATATTTGTAATCAATAAAAAATATATTAATATGTAAAGTTTGTTCTAGATGCAAAATAAATTAGATTAATATAAAGTTTATTATTTTTAACTTAATGTAAAATTAAAACTTGGAATATATAAATTTTTAAATAATAATTATATATCATATATATAGTTGTTTATTGTATAAATAATTGAAATTAATAAAATGCATACCAATCTTTAAAAAAAAATGCATGTTATCATGTAAATTAGTTTGTTTCATGTACATAATATATATCATATTAATATAAAGTTTATTATTTTTAATTAATGTAAACTTTAGCACAAATTAATAAAGTACATGTTAATCATTTAAAATTAAATAAATGAATAAATAAAGTGTGTATTAATATGTAAAGTTTGTTACTTGTACATAATATATATCATATTAACATAATATTTATTACTTTTAATTAATGTAAACTTTGAAAAAATAATTAATGTAAACTTTAACTCACTTTTATATAAGATCATGTAATTTCACCTTATCATAATGTAGTACACATTCAATTCTACATATTTATTTCAATATAATACAAAACATAACAAATCAAGAAATAAAAAACAATAAAGCAATGGACAAAACATAATTACTAAAATAAATTGAGAAATCCTTTCAAAAATATAATAAATTGAGAAATTAATGATGTATCCCTTTTATCTTTAAACAAATTAAAACAATTTTCGTGGATGATAACATTACAAATTAAGCTAATAATATAATTAGTAAAATAAAAGAAGAAATTTATTATTATCTTAAAAAATGATTTCATAAGAACAATTTATACAGAAAAAATACTAATAAATTTAATGTTTCGTAATTTCAAGTGAAGTACATTTATAATAGTGATTATATCAAACTACCAAGAATAATAAATATTATAAATTATTTAGATAATGACGATAGAACGTAAAATAAACTTTGTTGGATTGAAATTTTTAAGAAAATTACAATAAATAATATAAAAGTAATCTAAAATAAAATCGTTAAGTTTCTTCAAAATTATGTGAAAAGTATTGCTTGTTTGATGTTGAAAATCTTTTTTGCATTAAAAATGATAATTTTTAATACTTTAATTTTTTTAATGCTTTTGATAACACATTTTAAAATCCATTTAAAAAAAAAATTAATCAAAAGGTGTTAGAATAATATAAGTATAAATTTACTTATCACCTAATGTAGAAAATGTTGAATAATTTTTAAAAAAAATATTTTTGAATTATTATCCTAAAAATATTACTTCATTATCTGCAATGAAAAATAAAGTTAAAAATATAAAATTATAAATTTTCATAATTTAATATTTCATAATTATCAAACAATACATTTATGTTCAATATTTAATTTTCAGTAAAATACCAAACAAATTTTATAATTCAAATTCATTACTTATTAAATTTAGTATTAATAATTTAAAACTTAATTTTTCAGTTTGTTGGACAGAACCTCAGCATAATAGATTAGTTTATATTGGGTTATAATGATAAAAAGAAAGAAATTATTTAAAATGGCCAAAAAATATATTTATTATAAAACTCTAAAAAAAATTAATGAAAACTTTAGCTCATATTTATTTATCAAATAAATTTACAAAGTTTTTCAACAAAAGTTAAGTTTTTATTTATAAACATTAGCAAGTAACATTACATATGTATGATTCACATTTCAATCCTTGTCAAAAAAAAAAAAAAAACAGCAGTTAAGACTCCTTGGGTGCCTGTCCTAATTTAGTACAAAACCTTCTGGGAATTTCTCAACCAGTCTGTTTCTCTCTCTTGCTTATCTACGCAAAACACAACCTGTCCTACATTGTCAGCTTCATGTGCAACTATCCTTAATCTGGTAAACTGTATCAACCACTACCATTATTCACCTTTCTAAACCACTCTTTTTACCTCTAATCTGCCTCCTCCTCTCTTTCTTTAGTTTCGGCCACATTTTTCATTTTTGCCAATATTATTATCCCCGAATAATGCATTAATTTCTCTCATTGTTTTGTGGCCAGACCCCACCACAATGACTACCTTTTTCTGATGAATTCTAGCCTTTACGTGTTTGAGAATTCATTCTGGACTGTATAGTCTCCAGTGAAATGGGTTTCTTCAAGGTGTCATTTGTGGTTTTGGTTTATTTGGTCTTTTCAGTTTTGTGTTTCAAAGGGAATTGTGATGGTTCAGAGTTCTCAGTGAAGTTCTTAAAGGCTCCTCGTGCATTTTCTCACCTGAATTCAGCCAAATTTGTCTTTGAAGTCCTGGAAGCTGGCAATGGCACTTGCTCAGACTGTAGCATCTCTTGCAAGGTTGGTTTTTGATTGAACTTACAATACTTGAAGTATTCTAAATTTCTTTTTTTTTTTTTTTTTTCATATAGGTTTTTATTGCTTCTGTCTACTATACTGGAATCTAAGAAACTGCTCATAATTTTGACTCATTTAATCAAGAATTTATCGAGAATGCTTTTTATTTTTTTTCCTGTAGAATTCTTTTTCCCGATTGCTAACTCGTGTGATGCCAATGCCATGCATGCAGCTGGATTATGGCTCTGCTTCAGACTGTGGAGCTAGAAGGATTTTGTACTCAGGCTTGCAGGACGGAAACCACTCATTTGTGGTCTGCATCAATGGCTTTAAAGGAGCTAGCTGCAGTAGCTATAATTGGACTGTTGGTGAAGAAACCTTCCTTTATCCTTTATAAGTTGTAATCATCTTTTCTCCTATCTACCATAAGGCAGTTATATAATCAACTTTGCTTATACCATAACAGTCTTTTGACAAATCCTTTTTCCTAATTATGCAACACAAAAGAAATATGTTAGTTTCAAATTTGTTTCAAATTCATCTTTGGATTTGTTAACTTCCAAGCTTTTAAAGACCAGAGCTTTTTCGAGCTTTAGCATCTTTGCCTTTTTGCTTAATTATTGTTCTTCTCAATTCTTTTCGTTTCTTTTGCTGAAGAAATTTTACAGGAAATCCTGCTAGATGCATGAATTGCATATAGTTGTTCCCCTATATGCCAGCTCCCTATTAAATATACTACATATAAATTGTCTGTTTGTGCTTACAATTATGTTTGAATATTATAAATCTTGCAGAAACTGCAACTATCATTCTTTTGATAGACTGATTTTTAGCTCAAGTTCGGATATGTTGCCAATTATAGTGGATCTAGTTTCTGTATGGTCCTACACTGAGGTCAATTCTACCTTATTTTTGCAGACACGGTCCCTCCCACAGCATATGTAACCTCATCTATGCCTTTCACAAATGCTCTAAATGTTTCTGTAAATATTTCTTTCACTGAATCTTGTTCTGGTGGAGGAGGTTTCAGATGTTCATCTGTAAATGATTGCAATGTGAGTAGATGGCCTTATACTTTTTAAATTAATGTTGTTTTTCTTCATGTGCTTGCTACATTTACTTGTGTTGTTCATAGGTTCAGAACCAAGGGTAACCCCTTGTTTTCCATCTACTAATTGATCAACAACAATGTATGATCACAACATTACCAAGAATGTTTGTGATATTGTGATGTGTTTTTTAATGAATTTCCTTGTCATTTTTTAATGACCATGGATAGCATCTGATTTTTTTTTTTTTTTCGTATCAATTAGTCATTAATTTTTTGTATCAGTTTATGTACAAAATTAATGACCAAATTCTAACAAAGAAGTGTGCATCATCTGGCAGTTGCTTGTTTATGGTGCTGGCAAAGTTGTACCATCATCACTCATCATTCTGGAGCCAAACCTCAAGTATTCGCTTTTTGTGGGCATATCATCTGCTAGTCAGTATGGACGATTGGTATTGGTAATGGATAGGAATTTTTGTACTGATGCTGCTGGGAACACTTTTACTCGATCAGCAAATTCAAGTTTCTACGTGCATTTTGGTGAGTTTTCTTCTTTGTTTATCATTATACATTTTAATGTCTATGTCATTTTCAAACTCACATACTAATTATCATTGTATGTCATATCAAAATTGCTTCAAGACTATTCTCTGTTTCAATCTTTAAACTATCCACTTTTCAATCTTTAAATATGGTTATAGGTGATATGAAAATTTCTCCAAAGTTGTTCATCATTTTGATCTCACTAAAAGTTTAGATTATTTCCTTTCCTGTAGGAAGTTTTTGGAAAGATCTAGAACATTTTATAGTTATATAAGAATGTTTTTCAATTAAAATGATGGGTTCATTGTGTTAATTTCTTTGAAATACGGTCATTACTAGCCGGATAAAAGAATGTTAGAAGGTTATTTTCAAATTGGAGTCTGTCCTTTGCCATGTAGGACAACTAAAATTCCATCAAGTATTACTTGGCTGTTTTGAGTGTTCTTTTTTCCCCATTTTTTCACTTGAGATGAATGTATTCATAAATTGTTGACTTTTTCTAACTTCTAACTTCATGCTTGTGGTTGGTTATATTTCACAGATAGAAGAAGTGTATATGTTAACCTGAGGGCTCATGCTCCTGAGAAATTGCTTCAACTAAACAGCGAAATTAGAACAGTGCAGGCAACTAATAATTATGATAACCTAAAGGTGTACCTATACTTCTCAGCGCCTATTCTCAATTCATCAGCAGAGATTCTAAGTTCTCTGAACATAAGTCAGGGTACACTTCTTCCTATTAGTGGAGAACATCATGGGAATCGCAGATTCGGCTTTCTGGTTAGTAGTTAGTTCTAAAGTTAGTTTACTTAACTCATTGTCTGTTTCACTCTTCATTAATGTACAATCAGGTTTTGCCTTTTTGTTATTTATTTAGTGTTCTCAAGTCATTTCATTGTTTCCTTTCAGGTTGCTAATATATCTAATATTGCTATAATAACAATAAGCCTCAATCCAAACTCTACAATAAGCAGACAGGGGACTCTGGTTTCTCCAGTTGCACCAGTTACTTTCCTTTATGGTACAAGTTACACTTCTAAAAGAAGTTATAAAGAAATTTTATATTTCATAGAGGATAAAATTTACTTTCAGTGTTTCCCCTATTCTCTTCAGTAAGAAGAGGTTTCTACTTTCTATATTTCATGGAGTTAATTAACATTATCTGTACATATTAGATGTACTAGATGCCTATTGACATGGATATAGACGTGATCTTCAGATTCTCAGAGGACTGCAGTGAGATTAAGCACAACATCTCATATGAGGACAAGAGAATACGATATCCCAATTTCGATAAAGTTCATGGAGCCTGTTTTTGGTTTTAATTCATCTTTGATATCCATCTCAGGAGGGCGTCTGCAGAGGCAAGTAATTTGCAACCTTTATGCAGTGGCATATATAGGAAAATAAACAACAGCTCAGAAAGAAACATAAAGTCCTGAAATATGTACTGCATTCTGCTTGCATGTATTTGAAGAAATATGAAACTGCAAATATGTTCAGAACGAGTTAACCTCAACACACTAATTTGATTTCCTTGCTTTGATGCATTCCAGCTTCCATGAAATTAGTAGAAGCATATATGCTGCAGAAATACGAGCAGATGATGATGTTGTTTCTGTCAGTGTCCCTGAAAATGTAACCGGGGATGTTGCAGGAAATAAAAATTTGGCATCTAATGTTCTTCGAGTGAGACACTGTAAGGATTTTTTCCACTTAATTTTTGCTTGTTATTAGCTCAGTTGACCTAAAAAACCACATTCTTGATGGTTTTGTGGCTGACCATTTTTGTTACTCTGATTCCTGCTGCATGAACTTTATGCAGATACTATACCTCTAATTTCTTCTGTGATTTCCGTCTTTGCAACTGCTGCTTTTTTGTTGACTTGTTTTACTGCGGGGCTTCTCACCATGTCAACTGCAAGCCTTCAATCTGTCGGGGCATTTTCAAGACCATCTTCATCTTTGTCATCTGACCCTGCAAGGATTCTTTTTGTATGATACCTAACACTTCTTAACACTTTGTTTTCTTTTTCCCCGTTGGACTTTGAATAATGTACGAGCTTTCTCTTGTAAACCTTCTAAAATATATCATCTCCACATCCTACATAACCTCACCATGAAACCATGAAGCATAATGCTATGTGCCATACTAGGAGGAGCAAATGTACCCAGGGTACTTTTCATTGTATTTTCCCTTAACGATACATAAGATTTCATGCCAAGTCTTCTGATGTTTTTGACCAGTCATTTGTTATTTGATTAAGCTTTGATGAATCCTACACCAACAAACAATTTCATGAATGGATTGTGGAGAGCAGAATATTGATACTTTCTCACTATCAAGTTAAAGTATAAAAACAAAAGTGACAAACAGTTCTATTCTTTTGTTTTTCATTTTTACAGAGAAGCGCATGCCACATTCAGGTTTTTGCGCTGTCTAGGTGGTTAGCAGTAATCTTGCCAGTGGAGTATTATGAATTTGCAAGGAGGTTAGAGTGGAGCATTCCTTATTTTAGTCTCCCATGGGAAACTGGGCATGATCAACCACTCATGATGGGTTTGAGCCCCAGCGACAGTTCAAATTCTTTCCTTTCCCGAGCATATGATAGGGAAATCTCCCATAGTGTTCAACCAAAAGAAGTGAACTTCAAAATAGCTGCTGCAGTATATGGTTCACCACTTACTCCAATAGAGTACAGATCATTTTTTGAGGTCAGAAATCACTCTTTTTTTTCTCATTATAAAAGCTCCAAGGTTACAAGAACACCTTTAAGTAACGAAGGTGTATTTAATTGAGCAGAGCCAAAGCATTAAACCACAAGCAGAATATATTTTGGATAAGCTCCATTCAAGTGGGTAAGTTGTTAGCATATTTCATGTTGTCTATTCAACAAACCTTTTACTTGCAAAATTGATCTTGTGGACTGAATAATGCTGAAAATATTCGGCTGGACTTTTAACAGTTTCCTACTCGGAAATAGACAAACACTAAATTTACAAAGTCAGAACCATATGTTTAAGAAAGATTATAGAATTTCATACACTTTTATGATCAAGGTATAAAGGACCAGTGATGGATGTGTCCCTTCTCATTGTGTGGTTTAGGAAGATTCTTTTGCCTTTTCTTTTCTTATTTGTGGAGTATATATTTATATATATTTTTAATACTTGTCCTTAGAAAGGTAAAAGTAGTAACAATGTATATTGATCATAAATCTTGTTTATCTCATCTGTGAAGGTGGAGGGACTTTGATAGAAGCTTGTTCTGGTTAGCAGTTATTGGTGGCAGTTTGATACTGTTGCATGCTTTTCTCTTTTTCATTCTCAAGTTCAAGAAGAGAGATTCTGAAAAGAAGGGGAGTTATGGAGCACTCATATTTCCCAGATTTGAGATATTTCTCGTAATTCTTGCACTACCTTGTATCTGCCAGGCTTCTGCTGCTCTAGTTGGAGGTATCTTAAACATAAAAAAGTTTCCCTCAACTGTGAGCAAAGGTTCATGGATAATTTACGTTTAACACTCTGATTTTATACTTTCTAACTATTTTTTAGTGTTAAAAGGGGGAAAATAAAGGGATTCAAAAAAAAAAAAAAAGAAAAGACCTGAAATGATGGTCATTTGTTGTAAAGGGGTTGCATAACACGGAGACCGTTTGTGATTATAAAGTGAATGGTTACCATCACTGTGCTACTTCATCTTTTACTATGATTTTCACCATCTGCTTCCAAATGATCATTACATGTCTTTTGTTGTACATCCAGTCTATTCTTCTTTGATCTAAAAGCAGTACTTGAAATTTCTTACAATTTAGTTGAAATAGTTTGCCTATTTTTACTCTGCTACATGGTTTTGTATTTGCAATTCAAAAAGTTAATCCTTTACTGCATGTCTACATCAGTGGACTGGCCACAACAATGTCTAATTTCTTCTTTGTCACACTCTATTGAGCAGCATCAAAATCTTTTTCTGTACTTCCTTTGTTGCCTAATTATCGAATCTTGTAGGAAGTGATATCAATTTGCATCGGTTGTATAGTGAATTTGTGACATATTTAAATATTGCTTATCACAATCACTTCTCATTGGAAATCCTTTCTCATCTCTTCTAACTTTCATGGTTAAAAGGTGGAACGCCATCAGGAGTTGTAGTTGGCATTATGGTGCTGGGTGTTGTGGCTTTCGTACTGCTGTCATTGCTGTTGTTCCTATCTGTTGGAATTACAGTTGGAAAGCTGCTTCAATACAAGGAAGTCCATCGAGAAGGCCAGCAGTTTCACTGGTATCAAGATATCATCCGAATGACTCTTGGTCCTGGTAAAAGAGGCCAGTGGACTTGGAAAAATGAAGCTAACTCTGTTTACCTAACCATGTTAGGCCCTTTATTCGAAGATTTAAGAGGTCCTCCAAAATATATAGTCTCACAGATATCTGGTGGTGGCAATCCCAGCAGGCAAGGTGACCGTATCATTGCTTCAGATGATGAAACAGAGGATGCTGAAGCACCTTTTATTCAGAAATTGTTTGGAATACTGAGAATATACTACACAATGTTAGAATCTGTGAAAAGAGTTTCACTTGGAGTTTTGGCTGGTGCCTTCTTGAATAACTGGTCATCTAAGACTCCATTAATTATCTTGCTGTGCATTACCTCTTTTCAGCTATTCTTCCTTGTTCTTAAGAAGCCTTTCATTAAGAAAAAGGTACAGTTGGTTGAAATCATCTCTCTTTCCTGTGAAGTGGCCCTGTTTGCTACTTGTGTTGTTCTATTGGGGAAGGAATTTTCAGCTGGGGATGAGACTAAAATTGGGATCTTCATGCTTATGTTATTCCTATTTGGATTCTTGTCACAGATGATTACAGAATGGTATGCTTTGTATGAACAAACAAAGCAACTAGACGCTGCTGAAAACTCTTCCTTGAGAGGTTTAAAAATAGCTTCAATTGGATTTCTCCTGTATTTCATCCCTCAGAAATTGATGAAAAGCAAATTCCCAGTATTTGGATGTGGAGGTGAAGACACAGTGGATACAGGTTTTGCTTCCGAGAGGAACAGGAGTACTTCTGGGAGCAGGAGCTCTAGCACAACGGAGAAACCATGGCCAAAACAACTAAGGGAAATGGCAAAGGCTAGCTTTAGTAAAGCTGGAAGCAAAGTTCCAAGTGATCCTTCAAGCAGCCGAACCAAATGGAGTGGGTTTTGGGGGACAAAAAGGAGTGGGAGCTCTCCTGTAAGTTCCTCTTCCGATTTCAAGTCAAAGTCAAAAGGGTTGTACAAAGACTTAGAAGCCATTTTTGCGTCCAACTGAGGCCTACACATCCCAAAAAATGTATCAAGGCTTGAGTTTATGCAGAGTGTCTAACCTTAAGCAGCGGAATGTATAGCTGAGACAACCACCTCTTGAAACTCAAAAAGCGTGCCATTTTTCCGATTCTAGCTTTATAGGAATAATATCATGTTCATGGCTCCTTGTGGCTTGTGCCGAGACACAAAACCCAATTGTTTAGCTTTGTCAGTACTGGATATTGAAGTTCAAGTAATCTAATTTCTATTGATTGATATAACGTTTTGCAATTGCTTATGCTCTCCTTTTTTCAAATAAACATTCAATATGGTAACAAAAGCAATGTGGTCAGGTGGCGACGCCATATGCTTCCACCAGTGGTTCATATTAATGGACCTTGAGACACCTGGACTACTGCATTGGGCCTTCACTGCTACACGTTTTAAACACCAGGAAACTAAACATATAGCTAAGTGATTGGGTGTTGCATTCAAGCAAAAAGACCATAGAGAAAAAGAAAATATTCTAAAAATGGCACTAAAGAAGGTCGAGGAGATTGTTTTCTCCAATCCTGTTATTGTCTTCAGGTACTTCTTGTTTTTGCCTTCAAAAGGAAAAAATGACTAAAAAACTGGATGGAAAATCAAATTTGACCATTATGTTTTTGTGAGAGTTTAATGCAAAATTTTCATTATTATTGATCTTATTTAATTTTTGCAGTAAAACATTCTGTGGTTATATGGTTATACCAAGTGGGGTGAAGCACTTATTCAAAGATAATATTTCAAATTTACTCTATCTTGCCAAGGGCCGTCGATTATCATATCTTGAAAAGTCGAATGATTAGTTAGGGAAGTTGAGTGTCATGACTAGAATATAATTCCGTTTCAATTTTTCACTAAGACAATCGGATGTCTTCAGCAAACAAGTCAAATGATAGATTTGCTTCACACTTACAATAAGGCAGTCAAATCCCTTCCCCGGCCATTTGTCCTTGTTAAAAAATTCGTAACTTTTGGCCGCAATAACTAGTTTTGCTTCATTTGAGTTCCAACCTTTTCACAATTTGATCTTTCGCTTGTAAATGATTGTGAATGGCACATGTTGAGTTTCAAAAAAATGAGCTTCCTTAAAAGATAAATTAATTGATTGAATCAACACAACCCAAGAGTTATAACTTTATATTAAAATCTCAATAAATAGAGATGACAAAAAAATTCCAATATACACCTTTTGATAGATTTTGGTATTATTTTCCCTTCTCATTCTGAATTAAGAAATAAATCTTTGAGACATTGTTTGCTGCAGAAAACTGTAATTAAGAAAGATATTGTCAATCCAATGTGTTTGATGGTTTGATTTCACAAGTATAAAGCATTATCAAATAAGGCCTCATTGTATTGTACACTAAGACCATTAGATTTAACCCTTATCTCGTACCGTGGCTGGGGGTATTTGCAATATCCTTGAAGCCATTTCCTTTTATACGTAATTCTCTATCTTGAGCTCAACACAAAATACATAGAACTAATCCACTCTCTACTTGTTCTAACATTGTCTGCCATTGTAACACCCTATTGTCTCGCCATTGCCAAGTCTCCCAACATCATAAACAATTTTACCACACCCAAAGTCCTTCAATAATTTTTTGGGGCAATAAAAGACAAGCAATTCAGACCGAAGGGGTATCCTGCTGGAGACAAATAGCAAACTTCAGAGCAAAATGGATTGAATGTTTTAACTGCCTTCACAAGCCGTAAACCTATCTATTTAAGAGAAAGCACCATCATCAAATCCCCTTAATATAAAAAAAATCAATATCGGAAGCTAACCATCCAAACCCACAAAATAAAAAAAACAAAAAAAACAAAAAGAGAGAGAGAGAGAATGAAAGTCGGAGGTTTTCTTTTTTTTTTTTTTACAGTGGAATCTAGTGTTTTACCCTTAGTGCCCCAAGGTTCTGCTCCCTGGAGAAGTTAAAGGGGAGAGGAAGGCCTAGAAAGATGGAGAAGGCAAGATTTTACGGAGTTCACCATGCCAAATATTAAAAACTATGAATGAGTCGTCAACAATGGCAATAACAACAGCAATCATGAGACTTTGGCCCTGTTCCCTTTGCTCTCAACTGGAGTTTCGGAAGGAAGGGAACATTAATGTCTTGACCTAGTTCAACTATTTCTACTAGAAATTTGGCTACTTCCTCTAGCTCTTGTGAGAATACTATTGATATTGACCTAAAAGGCTCTGATGAACAACACTTCTTTGGTTTCTTCTCTTGTCGAGATTTCAGTTAAGGATAAGGAGAGAGGAAGAAGAAGAAAGATATGATATTGTAGCTCATCAAATGCATATTCACTAAATTGAGTTTGGGAAGAAATTACCTTAGATTCCTCAAGGGCTATTCAAAATTTGCCTTTCACTTGAATCTTCAACTCCATTTTCCTTGTTACTTATGGGACATTCGCTTTCACACAGCTTTTTCTCCAATTGCCTTTTCATTTATTCTTTCCTCATACATTTGTTCAACTTCATCGTATATTTCTTTGGTCACGAAGCAACTTGAAATTTTGTTTAAATCCTCATCGCTTATGCCACAATATAATATGTTTATGGCCTTGCAATTTGTTTGAATAAAATTCAAAAGTTTCTCATCAATTCTTAATAATTCATTGGAACATTAAGCCCTTTGACAATAATTTTCCATGCTTCCATATCTTTAGCCATGATAAAAGCTTTAGTTTTATCTTTCATTAAATATAATTTGAACTATTAAACATAAGAAGTTGCGTGATAGATTACTATAGGATCAATTTAAGATTGTTAAACATATAAAAAAAAAGAGTACAAATTTTGATACTAATTGTTAACTTAAAGTAAGCTATCTAGTAAGCTATATAAGAGTCGATGAATTAAAATCTTCCAACAAAATAAAGTTAAATAAATGTTTCTCAAAAAAAATAACAATAATATTTACATATATATATATATATATATATGAAATTTAAGCACAACTGATCTTGAAATTAAATAAAAGAGAAATTACAAACAAATCAAACATAATAAGTTATAGAAGTTTGGCCCTTCCCTAAATCACCTCACTCATCTTCCTTGGCTTGATCTAGCCCGGAAGCCAAATTCATAATTTTTTTCAAGCTTACAAATACCTTTTCAAGGCTTATATATAACCTTTACATTCACTACCTTTCAAGCCTAAGGTATAACCTTTAAATATGCCAAAAAACAAATACCTCCAAATTTTTAAATTACTTGGACTTTCCATTTTTCTCAATCTTGAAAGTCCCTTCTTGATTTTTAATTGGGTTAATATCATGAATGACTCATAAATTATAATAAAATATTTAATGTAATAATGACTTTTAAAAATTTTTAATATGATATTTGAATTATAATTCTGTTAATTAAGGTGGCTTTTACTCCTAACAAGATAATTTCAAATAATGACACATGATGAACAAACAATCTATCAAGTATCACATTAGAGATTTTTAAAATTTAAATAATATATTGAACATTTCACTATAATTAATGACCCATTAATTCATGATCTTATCCTTTTTTAATTTTCTCCAAATTTTATTTGTTAAAGAAAATATTTGAGTTTAAGAGTATTTTTCTTTTGAAAAAAAAAAAAGCTTTGGTCAAGTATATCATTGAAAAACTTATTCTTAAAATCAATATTGCTAAAATTGTATTAAATACAAGGAAAATAAATTTTATTTGAATATCAATTAGATTTATGTTTTAAGTTAAGCATAAAAAATTTACTTCTCAAAGATAATATTGTCCCAATTATATTGAGTCCAAAGAAAATAATTTTTATTTAAAACAACAATTAATCTTTCATTTAAAATCAAATAAATAATTTTTAAAGTAAATTTTTATTTGAAAAATACATAAAAATCTAAAACTATTTTAGTTTGAAAAACAACTTTAAATTTTTTATTATTTCAAAAAATAATCAATTTAAGGCTAACTAGGGCTGTAAATAAACCAAACATAAACGGATGAACATATGTTCGTAATTTGTTCATTTATTTTTAAAGTTGTTTAAGCTCAGTTCGTGTTTGGTAAGAGATTTGTTAATTGTGTTCGAGCTCGGTTCATTTAAATAATAAGATGTTCATCTTTGTTTGTGTTCAATTTGTTTAAATTAAATTTTATTGTTCGTGAACATTAAATGCCTTGAATAATCGCTTCCCATTTATTTTAGGATTATTCAAAACATTTTTTACTAGAAAAATACCTTAAATAATCTCTTACAAAAAATTGAATGGGATTATTCAATGCATTTTTGGGTTATTCAAGGCATTTCTAATCGAAAACGCATTAAATAATCCCTTTCAATTTTTATGAGAGGATTATTCAAAGCATTTTTGGTCAAAAACGCCTTGAATAATTGCCACCCATTTTTTTAAAAATTATTCAAGACGTTTTTTGCTAAAAAACGCCTTCAATAATCCCTTACAAAAAATTGAATGAGATTATTCAATGTATTTCTGACTAAAAACAACTTGAATTATCCCTTTCAATTAAAAATTAGAAGGGATTATTCAAGTTTTTTTTTTTGTTAAAAGCGTCTTTAATAATCCCTTCTAATTTTTTTTGGATTATTTAAGACGTTTTTGACCAGAAACGCCTTCAACAAAAATTGAAAAAGATTATTTAAGGTATTTTTGGCCAGAAATCCCTTCAATAACCCTCAAAAAATATCTTGGATAATCCCTTCATAAAAATTAAAGGGATTATTCAAGGTATTTTTTACCAAAAACACCTGCAATAACCCCATTCAATTTTTTGTAAAAGATTATTGAAGGCATTTTTCATGTCAAATGCCATATATAAACCAATTTTTTTATCAACAGAAGCCTATAATTGACTTTCATTCATTTTTAGACATGCTTTTCAAAATGATAATAGCTATTTCATAATTTTTTAGTCAAGTCAAATTTAAAAATAATGTTACTTTTCCCTTGAAATCCTAGAATACCACAGGGAGATGTGAGTTTTTAATTTTAAGATTATGGGTACTATTGGGAATCCATCAGTTTTTCTTAAAATCAGATTACCCTGAACTAAACATTAGAATCAAATATTCAACAGTAAGATTTTGAAGGAAAATGTTTGGATTCCCCCGAACCAAATGTCCCCTTATTGTTATCAAACAAACGAACAATAAACGAATGAGTTTTAAATGAACCTTAAACGAGCTTGTTCATAAATGTAAATGAACAAAGAAACAGTTGTTTGTATTTGGTTCGTTTAATAAACAAATGCACAAATGGTGTTCAAGATTGTTTGTTAAGTTTAATAAACAAACAAAAATTGAACATATTCACAAACAGTTTATCGAAAGCTCTGTTCACTTACACTCCTAAGGCTAACATGCTTCTATGACACTATATTACACAAGGAACTATTACGTCCACCACAGAAAGATCAATTACCTTTCTAGATTTTTTTTGAATAAATTTCATCCAAGTCCTTCAAGTTTAACTAAAATTCCACATAAGTTCATTAATTTTAAAAATAGACATTTCATTCAAATTTATCAATTTGGTTCGACAAATTGATACTGTCATTAACCCAATATTAAAAAATCTATTAAGAAGATGCTGTAAAGGCCATTATGTTTTTGAATGAAAAAAAACTTGATATACTCAATTTAAAAATGAAAATTTTAATTATTTTTACCATAGCAAAAAAAAATACTAATTTATAATTTTCATTTATTTCATTTTTTTAAAATATAAAGATTAAGATAAGTTTTTCTTTTAGTTCATTTTCCA